ACTATTGAACTTGTAGTAAACTGTAGTCATGTGTAGTATACTTTCAGTTCAGTAATTTTACCAAAATTTCAATTTATAAAAAAAAAATTAAAAAAAAATTAAAAAAATCGGAAAAATTAAAAAAATCGAAAAATTAAAAAAATCAAAATATTAAAAAAATCAAAATATTAAACTATTTTATAAAAAAATACAATGATAATAAAAAAGGTACAATATATATACAGTAATAAAAAATAATTAAAAATAAAAATGATGATATATGCAGTACAAAATACGAAATGCAGGTCCAAAATGATAAATGCAGTAGGTGAAAATGTTGAATGCAGTTGGGCGAAAATTACAAATAAGGGCACAATAGTACTTTTGCCTCTCCAGGGGTATCTCAAAGGAAGATTTTTTGGGGTAGACCTATCCCTATATATTTTCCATATGAGGGGTGTATATCTAATGGACCCATAAATTCTAAACTAGAATCAATTTTTAATGAGAGAAATGATTCGACTTCAACTTAAACAAATAACTAGACTTCAACTTTAACAAATAAACTAATAAAAACTCTAAATTTAATCATAAAAAGGCTATAAGCATGATGTAAAATATAATTAATTCTCCTAAAAACAACCAACATAAATAAAATAAATAATTCAAAACTTCAAGACGACCTAGAGTAAACGTAGTTTATCTCCAAGTCTTCAAGCAAATCTTGATCATGTTGGCTTCGGAATTTATTCCAACTCAAAATATGAAAGTTGTAGATCTGTTCGTTGGCTTTCTATGATATTTCGAATTGCCTAAATGAAATCTCCGATGAGAAGTTTATTCTTGGATTTAAAAAACAAATTATGGAGAAGGGTGCTAGAGATTTTCAAATGAATGAGATTCGGTTGTCGCGACGAACTTCTTTCTTCATCTTCCTATGTATCATTTCTCGGGATATATCAAAAACATATCAAATGAAATGATTGAATTCTATGATTCGTATGAAATAAATGTATGAAAAGAAATGTTGCAGAGAATAGCTAGAATTCAGATGATCTCGTCCGTTTCAGTTGGTGCCGTGACTCATACATCGAGTTTGAATTCAAAAAACCGGTAATAATTTCCTGCAAACAAATTAAACAAAATATCGCAATAAATTCCCTATAAAGAAAAGAAGAAACAGTTGGATGAATATATCTACGACGAAGATTCACGTCCAATTTTGTTCAAATAAGCTACTACTATCATATTTCAACTTACTCACAAATTAATATTTGTTATGAAAAAGGTTTGGTATCGGTAGCGGAGCCCGCATAAGACCATTGGGGGCCATGCTCCCCCTAGCCCCCCTTACATTACTCATATCTCTATTAATTTATATATAAATATTTTTTTTTACAATAGCATTAACAATCCCTCTTCAGAATTTTTTTAATGCATTCACCCTCCAAACTTAAAATTCTAGTTCAGCTAACGTTTTGCATGATGCTCGCTAACTTTGTTTTCGTGCCCCGTCTACTATTTTAAGCAATATGAATACGGGCTAGAAAGGAGTGGATTCCAAGAAATCAATATTAGGAAAAAAGAAAATTTGTTACGATACATGTTTTTAACAAACAACTCCGCAAAAGAAAAGTTGTAGGCGGTAATTCGCTAAAACAAATTGAATCATATGAAATTTCGCTAATAATAAAACGAAGAGTTTCTTACTTTCTTTCTTTTTTTTTTTTTATTTTTTTTTTATTTTTTTAACAATTAGAGTAAACATAGGAGCGTTAAATACACAATAAACCCAAAAATAAAACAAAAGTGAAGCATGCATAAATTTAAATGGTAAACCACAAAGTGCAATAACTAAACATATTCAATCATGATGCAGTGTGCAAAATATGTTGTGGGAGGGTGCAATGGACAAAATGTTACCATAAAAAAATTAAATTAAACTTACTAAACTTTAATTCCTAACACATACCCCAAAACATAGGGGGGGGGGGGGGGGGGGTGTGGTTTGTGTGTGTGTGTGTGTGGAAATCAAAGCATTATTACTTTAATATTACTTACAAAATTCACAACATTTATTTAATCAATATATGATGAAATGAAATTTACTAACACTATCCTTGGAAACAATTTCTTTACATTTTATTTGAAGCAAAATTATGGTCTATGTTTAACTGGAGGACTAGTGTACAACGGTGTCAACAAAAATATAGTACCAAAATGGATACAAAATATACAATAGATATTTGTTTTTATACAGAATAGTAGAACCGCGATAAATTAATAATCTGCCTTAAATAATAATTTCCACTAGTATGGTAGGAATACAACAT